ATTATGTTTGAGCACGATGTTTCATTTTGACAGGAGAAACAAGGTAAATTATATGAAATTTGAAAATCAGAGAAAGTGAAAATTCAGAATACTTTATTTTAAAGAGGTAATCGAATTAAAAATGAAAAGTAAATAACAAAAAATAGTGAACGTTCATAGAGAATTGTTGCATGATTCTAGAAACTGCAACGAGCATTTGCAATTCAAGAGACATCGGTAAAAGCGAGAGATGACACGATACGTCTCTGCCATTTTTACAGCATTACGTTTCTCGGTAATAAACGTTCTCCAGCAAACAATCTTCCACTGTATCCGGTTCATACGAACATAATCATATCCTAACCTACAAGCGCCATCAGAACAATTATTTCCCACTTTTCCGTGTCGCCTGATAATTCCAACGAAATTATCCGCTTCGCGCTAAAATGACCCAAGTGTAACGAGTGGCAGAAATTTATCTGAAAGCATATCTACGTTATCTGTAACGTTTAATCTTGTTTGTTTGACAAAACGGGAAAAAGAAGAAGAAGAAGAATGGAAATATTTTCTTTTCTCTAACTCACCGGAACACACGATCCACCTTAAATCATCCCCTTTTAGTTTAAGTAGCCTAATCGAATTGGCGTCGGCCGAGTTTCATCGAGATTTCCACGCGTGTGCGCAGATGTGCAGGCTGGTTAACGCGTGGTCATCTACTCTGCGCCAAAGATAGAGTCTGACATCATATACAGAAGCAACACTCGGGTCGAACGAGCGATAAACATACTTGCACACACGATGCCTCCGCACGCGGAAGGTTTACGTTGCCTGTTAGAACTGTCTCAATTGACATCTTCCAATGCATTCCGCAACGTCGTCGCCGAAATAGCGAAAAGATGGCCGACGCGCTAGCGACCGAGGAGGAGAGACGCGGAAGCCGAGAAACGAGGGAGGAAACGTGTAGTTTGACGAGAGGAGAATTATTAATTTTGCGTTGAAATTTTTAAAAAATTTTGGAGGAGCGGGACGAGTGGTCTTTGCTCCAAAAAAATGAGAAGAATTGTAAAATTGGTAATTAAAATAAGGAGAGTGTGATCCAAGGAAATTTAATTTTGGGAGGAGAAAACAATAATTTTGCATTTGGATAAAAAAGAAATTCTGGAGAAACACACAGTGGTAGAAATCAATATTAAAATTAAAAAGAGAATTCCGAGTGTTTGTACGGAAAATTGAGAAGAATTCTGGAATTCATAATTAAAACAGAGAAATTACGATCCAAGAAAATAATAACACAAAATATTTTCGAAATATCAGAGACGGTGCAAAGTGGTCTTTGAAAAAAATTGAAATAAAGGAACCGTGATCTAAGAAAATTTAATCTTGCAAGAAGATGATACTTCCACGTTTAAATTCGAACAGAAAAATACCGAAGAATGAAAGTTCATAATTAAAATACAGAACTTCACTCTTAGCGCCACTTTTCGATGAAAAAATCGATTTCAAAGTAGAACCGCGACAATACACGCCCCTTCCTTCATCCCAGCCTGTACAAACAACACGAAGAACAAGTTTCACTCTCGATCATCTGGAATCTTATCGATCGAAACTTCGAGGCGGGCTCGATAAATTTAGAACGGCCCCGTATCTCCGCGTTGATTTCCTCCGGATCGCGAGAACCGCCTGGAATAGTCTCCTCTTTTATTATTTGTCGCACGGTTAGGCCTCGTAGTAGCTCGTAACACTTGCTACGCTGATAACGAGCCGAGTACACGGCCGCGTTTGCCTGTAAACACGCGTCTTTCTGCTATCAACCTGACGTCACTCGGTGTGCAGATAATAAAAAAGAGCGAGTATATTCGATTTGCCCACCGTAATTCCTAAACCGCGAAATCTGATTCTTTCCTTTTTTACGTGCAGTATAACCGGTGACGTGTATCGAATCGAGGTATGTACGTTGATAAAAATATTGGAACAATGGGGGATCCTAAATACGGCCGACCAATTACAAGATCCATCCCACGCGACTTCCTCATTCACACTTCACTGCCAAACCAATTACCTCTGGCAAAGTTGAACAACTACGAGCGGTTGCAATGCTCGATTAATGCGCTCGCTTCGAGAAGCATTAGAATTCGAATCGCCTGCTGATGGAAATTTAACGATCGATCAATCTTCTTCTTCTTTGTTATTCGAACTGCGGTAGATAAAGTAGCTCTATTTCGTTCGGAGAAGTTCTGTTTCGTTGTTCTCTTAGATATTGTTAATATTTATCTTTGTGGAAATTTATCTCGGTTTAAAAAGAAGAATGCTACATCTATTTATTGAGCGTACGAACGATTCAAGTCATTTGAGAATGATAGATATAACAGAGATAAAGGAACAAAGCAATTGAGCGCGTTAACCCTTTGCGAACGGGGGACTGCGTTATTTTTCTTTTTTTACGCTAAACAATTTCAACATTTTAGTTGCTTCAAATGTAGGTATATGAGTTTATGGCGACACGAACAGTTTTTATTACTGAAAAATGTGTGAGTTATTGGTTGCGTTCGAAGTGTTTTCCGAGTCCATCGTCCTCAGAGGGTTAATAAAAAAAAAAAAAAAAATAGTAAAATTTCTCCAACGTGCAATATCAAAGCACTTGAAAAATCGTTCAACGTTTCATTCAAATCGTCACATCACTGTAAAGAGAAGAAATAGAATAAAAATGTAAATTTCAGACTGACGCCCTCAAAGGGTTAAAAGAAAATACTAAAATTCCTGAAACATGCAACATCAAAGCACTTGAAAAATTGTTCAACGTTTCATTCAAATTGCTACATCATCGTAACGAGAAGAAATGGAATAAAAATGCAAATTTCAGTCCACCGCCCTCAAAGGGTTAAAAAGAAAAATACGAAAATTCCATTAAAACACCTACAAAATAAAAAGGTAAATTAAAACGAAAGTATGAGACAGTTGAAAAGTCTTTCAACGTTTCACTAAAATCGCCACATCATCCTAACGATAAGAAACAAAATAAAACTGCAAATTTTAGTCCACCGTGCTCGAAGGGTTAAAAAAGGAATACTACACTTCCCTAGCACGCAATATTAAACCACCTATCCAAAAGAAAATACGAGACAGTTGAAAAGTCTTCGAATGCAAATTCGAGCCCACCGCCCTCAAAGGGTTAAAAAGAAAAATACGAAAATTCCATTAAAACACCTGCAAAATAAAAAAAAAAATGAAACAAAC